AGCTAGCATCATCAACCGAAATATTCAAAAGTTGTCATGCAATAGATGAGATCGTTTATTTCATATATCAGTGGTTTTGCTGAATGTATTTAAATGTTAAAGGACATCATTTTTTTCATTTCTAAAAAGCACAACATGAACTGGATTGTACATGTGTCCATATACATGTATTCCTGTTTGTTGTATCTACCCCAAATATCTACAGCTGTATACTGTTATGTGAAGTTTATGTAGTTATGTTATAACATGCAATAGACAGGCTGTTTTTCTTTGAGTGTATCTTGGTATTACAGTTAAGTTGACTAAAGATCATTTTTACAATTCGTAGGTATCCATATGACAATAGTTCAGTTTGAAGACCTTGACCGCACGACCTCTGACCCCTTCATTGCGACCATACATTTGCACATAGACATATATCTGGTAGTGTCCGTCATTAGCGTCACATCGGAGCCTGTTGCCGCTTCAGCGTGATCTGTTCTTGGGGGCAAGGCCTTGACAAAAGGCCCACATCGACACATACTGGTACTCCTTGATGCATGCTATACCCAGTCCTTGCATAATATTCTGACATTCCATTATACAGAACACACAAGCGACCAGGATCAGACGGGACTGAAAATGGAAAAAATCATTTATGATAGGAAAGAATATGACGTTAAAGGCAATACTACTATACATGTATTTACATTACAACGCCAGCTTATTTTGGGAGGAAGGCTTAAGCTGACAAATTATTAGAAGAGTTTGCGAAAAAACAGTTGCACGGGTTAATGTATGTATGATGCTGACACACTACACTCAGGTCGAGTCTTGGTTTCGGCAGCTAGATACGAGGATCCTGGCGAATAAAGGACGCAGCTCTGAACGCTGTCATATGCACCTAGTGAGTCTCATAGATACGGATAGTAAGACGATTCTCACCCGGAGCACTTATCTCTGTCCTCAGTGCTCATTATGTTATCAGATGACAGCTGCTTCTTCGTACTACCACAGAATCAAGAAAACAAACTGTTGAAGAATCTGTGTATCACTTCCCATCATAGTTATTACCTAACAAGCAGCGATGACATGGGACAGGATCCCATGTCTATGTACACCCTGGGACTATCGTTAACACTGATATCTTGAATGTATTAGCATTCACAAATTAGTCTTAGTCATTGTGTGTAATGTCTCAAGATTAACAACATCTAAAGGAAACATTATTTCACTTGTTAAAAGGTGTTATCCAGTAACATGCCCGTGAGCGGTATCAGTCACAATGGTCATTAATACAAGGTGGCCAGAAGAAGGTGCGTGTTGAAGGATACCCTTGACTGGTCAGTGGATTTGACCAGCCCGTGCCCCTGGACTGATGAGATGCAAGTCGCGGGTGGCCAGTTGCAGTTATTCAGCTAGTGTACTAGCCTTCGGCGTGACAGTGATGTCAGGATTAGTCTGGCTTAGTGGATGATATCAGGGATTAGTTGATCACAGCAGCCGGAGTTGACAGGTGACTAATACCAAACCTGATTCCCACACGACGTAGGGATGACAACTGCATTGTCAAATCTGCCTGGAAATCAGAACAAAAACTTACACAGCTATTCAAAAATAACTTTCTTTGATATTGTATTCAGTGTATGTGGTATCAAGTAATTGACAAATATAACTACAAGCCGAATGTGTTTCTGTTTGGTAAATATCATGTATTAGGGATTAAAATGAATTATTTATGTAACATTTGACGATAAGAAAACACACAAGGGTAATAATATTTTTATCATATACCATTCTTAAAAACGCGAAGTTTATTATGTATTTCAATTCCCATATGTTATAAGTTTGAATCGCGTGAGTGAACCGTCGCATATATTTTAAACATATCGTGTCAACTTATGTTTGTTAACAGAATCACTCAATCGTCGGGAAACCAAGCTCTATACTTATTGAAAGTGTTATCAAATAGGTGTTATCCAGCAAGTAAGCATCGACGTCGATATATTGAGCTCATTAAAAGTAGTCCAACCTAGGTGGGACTACTGTACATGTATCGGACACTAATTGTAAGTTAAGTCCTCTATGTGATGAAATTGTGTCCATACTTTGATAACAGTTATTAAAGAACGTTAATCGACATTCGTGAAACATTCCTAATTCTCATCGGAAATAGTCAGGCTACATGTGTCCTGTGCAACTACACATTTGTCTCCAACTCAGGTGCAGCACCATATATTTTTTTTTAAGTGACATATTTTCTATGGCGGATGATTTGAAGATTATTCCATGGGAAGCATCGGCTCGTGTGCCCTTCATGTGCCCTTTCGGTCACTGTGGTTATACACTCCACTATAGTTTAACCTTGAGTTGTACCTCCGATCCGTGAAGATCCGGGATAGAATAGGTCTTCAGCAACCCATGCTTGCCGTAAAAGGCGACTAACGGGATCGGGTGGTCAGGCTCGTTGACTTGGTTGATGCATGTCATCGATCCCAACTGCGTGGATCGATGCTCATGATAGCAGTCACTGGATTGTCTGGTCCGGACTCGATTATTTACAGACCGCCGTCATATAGCTTGAACTATTTTGAGTGCGGCGTTAAACAAAAAACCAACCAACCTTTAATCCGGAAACAAAATATTTGCAACATCTCAAAAGGTCGTTTAACGTTATGCTTTAAACTTCACTATTTCATTGTGGTTCATAATCTCATTCTCATGTTATAGTCCTAATTGTACAATCAACTCTGCTTCTGTCTTTTAGTTTTCGAATAACAAGGCAATGGACAAATTACGTGATATTTACATGTCTTGTTCTGGTGTATGCAACCCTCTATCGTCGTAAGGTTTAACCACCTTTATATGATATAAATATAGGGTTAAAGACACAAAATACAGAAACTAAAAGGTGAGCGTATCCTGTCCAACCGGCGGCACCCGTCATGACCACATGCAAAGGCAAGTCACTTGTTCACTCGTGAAACATTTGAACAAGTCAAAAATAGGAAATTGCATCTGGTATCATTTTTTTCACTGATCCGGCAAATTTTGAAATGTCCTTCACATGTCTACCATAAGACTTTTGGAGGTCTTACTAAGGCTGTGAGTGTTGAAACGTTGATAAATCAACTTTTGGGGATAGTTATTGGTCACTCTGAATTTTATGCATATATCTTAGTTCCAAATTCCATTGTTTTAATATTGCCAATCCGACTCGTATGCATAAAGAAACAGATTAGCACTGAGGGGAGCACAGTTGATGCCAATGGGATGCCTACTTTTCTTCTAACTGTCATATCCCCTAATTTCCAGCATATCACATATAGTTTTCTCTGACATTTGCTTTCATTATTGACAAATTTAACCTGTCCTTAACCTTTGAACGTTTACCGGCAAATGAAGATTTTCGTGTGAGATAATGGTGTACAAAGTTGAAAAATCATATGTTCTAACTAATATGATTGGACTTGGTTCTTATCCTAGATTGCAAATATTCATTCAAATCATTTTGGTTTTGAGAATGGTATCAATTCCATGCCACGTGTCTCACATATTTCCATCTCATACCATAATTTAAAATTTTATTAAACAAAATACTGGTCAATCTAATCTTCTCAGAAGGTTGGATGCAGACTTGATCATTTCCTTTCTTAAATCTGGACTAGTGACTGACCCGAACAATAACAGAGGAATTTTACAATTAATATGTTCTTTGCAAAATCTTCACTATGTAACATAAAAATATGTATTCGGATGTTATAACCTGTGTAAAAACTGTATGTAGTGTTACTCCATATTTTCATAGTAACTTTAACACTGGTATGAGACAAGGTTGTATCCTTAGCCCCAATATATTCATAATCATCTTTTTGGTAAACGGGTTTGCATATACCATAAAAGAGAATGTAACCTAAAAATATGTTGTTATTATATGCCGATGATCATGAAAATGTTTATTACTTATTGTAGGGGGCACGGGTGGCCCAGTCGTCTAAGGCCCCGCGATTCGCTGTGCAGAAATGCGTCCCTTGGGCACGCCAGAAACCTATGATTGTGGGTTCGAATCCCGGTTCGCCCCGATTATGTTTCTAGGTTTGTCAGCACCATACCCGTGCTCGTGGGTTTCACCGAAGTGGTAAACGTCTGAGACCTGCGTCATTTCGGGCTTTCCTCCCACATTAAGCTGACACGCCATTATATAACTAGAATAATGTTAAAAGCGGCGTTAAACCCAACTCACTCACTCACTTATTGTATTATTCATTGTTCGCAAAAACAATTAGATGTATTGGAATCCTCTTAACAGTACAGTATTTCAGAAATGGTGACATGACATCAAAAACGAAAAACTGGATATTATTTGGATCTTGGTTAAATGTAACTTACTATGAATACTTGCTTGAATGTTTTCATCAAAGTAATATTGGTCGACGGCCTATAAAATGAAATCGTTTCTGTTGAAATATTAAAGATTTTGAACGTGACCGTCAAGATATCGGTAGATGTAAACATATTCCCCATTTCCCGATTACCCGGTGTCATTATTTACGGTACACTTGTTCGTTCAGTGGAAGAGAATGGGGCTGCATATGAGGTATCTCTGCAGTATTGGCGTTTGTGTCCTTCTTTCCGGGGACTCGGGATGTAGCGTTCAAGATTATGGCACTTATATGTAGAGCGCGTGTGGGTATGTGTGTGCGTGTCTGTCTGTGTGTGTGCGTATGCGCTTGTATTAGTCCGGTCAAAATGTCGGTTTTATAGTGCTAGCCCATTGAGATACAATGCCGCAGTTTAACATGGATACAGCCACTCAAACACAGCATCAAGTCCGTTATCCCATAATTAATGCCGAGCGCCAGGCAGGGTAACAAAAAGTACCATATTTTAACATCTTGTGGTATGGTGTGGTGCAACCGGGCATCGAACCACGTGATATATTAAAGAATCACAATCCATTTTCTCATTCAAAACTTTATTCATTAAAAAATATTATAAAACAATTGCTTGAGAAGATTCCACAAGGGTTCTATTACTACTTTGATTGTTGGTAGACCTGGCTTCTCAGGCACATCTGACATTTTTACAGGAGCAGTATTTGGGGACACGGATTGCTTCCTCTCTGATCCTCACCGCCGCGATTTCGTAATTGTCACAGTAGGCCCAGACGTACACGATGTCGTAAGACTCAATGCACATGTTGCGGGACTGGAAGGCGTTGCCGTGGTGGTGGCTGTTACAGTAGTTGTAGCTGAAAGAGTCAAAACAGGTCATTTATGCATGACATTGGTACTCCATGAAACGATTATCATCCTATTGCCATTGACAAAGTAGTACTTACTTGTGGATAACGATCAATGTCACCTAGTACTTGTTTAAAGCTTACGATCAATGTCACCAAGTACTTGCTTATGGCTAACAATCAATGTCACCTTGTATTTGTTTATAGCTTACGATCAGTGTCACCAGGTATTTGCTTATGGCTAACGATCAATGTCACCAAGTACTTGCTTAATATGGTTAACGATCAATGTCACGATGTACTTGCTTATAGCTTACGATCAATGTCACCAAGTACTTGCTGATGGCTAACGATCAATGTCACCAAGTACTTGTTTATAGCTTACGATCAATCTCACCAAGTACTTGCTTATGACTAACGATCAATGACACCAAGTACTTGTGTATAGCCTACGATCAATGTCACCAAGTACTTGCTTATGGCTAACGATCAATGACACCAAGTCATACGTGGTCTTATATTATTCGAATTGCAAGATGTATTTGTTTAGTTATTTTCATGCGTGTTAACTTATATAAAAACATACATAGATCTAAGATTATTAAACGCATCAAGGTGTAACTATGCTTTCTTCCAAACTTACAATATTAGTCATAACTTTTGAGAAAACGTATTGTTCACATATTTGGGTGAACGTGTTTAGCGCATTGACAACAGTACTCCAGCTATATCATACCGGTCTGTACATGATCGAATCAGTACTAGGCAAAATATAATTTAGTAACGATCCACGCCTTGCTTGTGTGATGACATACAATGAGCCAAGCTACAAAGTCTGACCACCCAAACCAATTTTGTAGTATCTTACCGGGGATAGAGCGTTGGGGATCGGTTCTGACCTGTACCCCCAAGGGGTTTATTTGCACAATTACAACTGAAGAACAATGTTGGTGAAGTTTGTGTCTGATATTCAACAGGTTTTGTGCGTTCTACCATATACACCGGCACAAGCATGACAAAGACATTAAACCGATCAGACGAGCAATTCCCACAATATTTGTACGTTTTGTTTTAAAAACTCAACCAAGACTAAAAATAATAAAAGAATCATTCTTTAATGGCTTGATAAATCCTTAGATCGACAAAAACACATTCAAGCAGGTTGATAAAAGAATACAAAGCAGCAGGGTACAGAACATTTGGCTTGGCGTGATGATGTCCCCCTGAGGGTTTAAGTCAGGGGGATTATCCTTAATCCTTTGATCGCGTCCGAGTAATACAGGTAAAAACACCTGCCATATGCCAGATTGTTCCCACTTGTCAGGGATGGGAAAGTGTTTTCCTTGTCGAAATATTTGTGATTTGTAATGACTCAGTTACTACTTTATACTTTATTTTTAAAACAATTATTCGCAAACGGGTTTTTGGTACCTTCATATATTCATTAGTTTTCTTAACTAGAGGTTTTGTTACAAAATATGCCTCATCCATTATGTACATATACACTATCAGTCCATTGTTTTCCTTTTCTCTTTCATAGATTATCTTTTCAATATAATTTTTTTTCAAATTCACTGCTTTATAATGTTCAGACAATCAGGCCCATATATATAAAATAACATTATACTTCAATATAACATAAATATAGTCCGCTCGTTTGGAAACATAATGTCACATACTTGAATTCAGTTACCTCGGATTCGTTCAAAACAAGAAATAAATATACAATGCACATTGTAATACTTCGAATCTTAATTTCAAATTCTGACTTTTATAATGAATTAAGGATGTTCACTTGGTATTTGTTGAGGTTCGTGTAAGACCGGTGTACATGGTATATAATGTAGATAAACGTATGAACCTCGTATGACTTACGCGCAATATCCGTAGTCAACCTCCTGCAGGTCAGACAGCACCCAACAACGACCGCCGTACCTGTCGAAGCTCCTCAGTCGCTTCTTGATAGTTGGGCACGAATAGGAGTAGTCTCTGGAATCAGTGATACATCATCGGTTCAATATCATAAAGATTTGTTGATATCATAACCAGTTTCCAGCTTTCCAGCTGTCCTGGTTTTGTTCAGTGAGTTTGATCGTTAAATCTATTTAAATGATTTTATTTAGTTTCATTACACATCATCTGTTTGAAGTAAACAAACATTTGTTGTATTGTTTATCTTCAGTTGTATGATACGTACACGTCAAACACGCCGCTGGTGGTCTCAGCGAGGACTGGGGGTAGGTAGATGGGCAGGTCCTGACGCTGGGATCTCTCAATGTTAATGGCATCACTGAAACACAATATAGACATAGATTGTCATGGTACCGTGATCATGGATTTAAAATAGTAGTCCAAGGTTCGATATGAATCGCCTCTTTAACATTTCTGAAATTATTTTATCTACAGACATTGCGTCAATATCTCACATAGGGAAATTTGGTGTTTTTCTATTGTATTTTGCATTTTAAAATGCATTGAAATATTTATTGCAGCAAATCACAATTCTCTGAAACCAGTATAAAAATGACACCTGTATCTATTTTTACAAACAATGTCCGTTTCACAAAATATGGCTTATACAGAATAAGCAAGAGCCTTATATGATAAATAATTATCATTAAACGAAATATATACAAATTGAAATAAATATCGGTGTATTATAATATTCAGATGCCCTTGGCGTCCTCTGTTGGATTCCATTTTCCCCTTAATGCAAAGTACATGTATAAATCGGCATAAAGGGGCTAAAACAAGGACTGGTCGGCTCGGAGTCAGTATACTGTGTCTGAGTGTTAAACTACGGCATGGTATCCCAGTCCGAGTGGGCTAGCACTAGTACAAGCAGGGACAGAGAGAGAGACGTTGCTAGATGAGTGCAATAATCTTGGACGCGACGTAAAACACCATTTCACCATTCCTCACATATGGAGCTAATAGTATACACACACATACTTAACAAGCGTTAGTGTCTCATTATAAAGTCAGGACAACTTACATAGGGTATCCTTCCGTGCTGTCAGAAAGAACGACGAGATCAGCTTCAATGTTGTACGCCTTGACACATTTGCTGTTGGCGTTGGGAAAGTGGGTGTCGAGGTGGTTGTAGAAATTGTTGTAGTGGTTGTTATTACCGCTGTTGTAAGGAACGTTCTGTTGTGCAGGATTTCCAAATGGGAAGTTCGGACCGAAGGGGTTGAAGGGTGTGTTGCCGACAGAAGGAAGGAGTGGGTCTTGGTTGTTGAGGCCGACGCTGTTTTGGAAGGGGAAGTTTTTGCCGAATATGTCGGCGACGTTGGAGAGGAGGGGAGGCGTATATTCAGCCTGGCGTTTGCTTAGGGAATGCTGCTTCACCGACGCCGCCAGTGTGTATGTTACACATGTTAATATAATGAAAACCTGAAACGAAGCAAGCATGTTATTAATTAGTTGTATTATTGTTATCATCTACCTGTGATGTTCCGGGTTAGAATAGATCTTCAGCAACTTATGCTTGTTGTAAGAGGCGACTAACGGGATCGGGTGGTCAGGTTCGCTGACTTGGTTGATGCATGTCATCGTATCCCAATTGCGTAGATCTATGCTCATGATGTCAATCACTGGATTGCCAGTGATTATTTACAGCCCACCGTCATATAGCTGGAATATTGCTGAGTGCGGCGTTAAACAACAAACAAAAACAAAACTGTTACCATCATCACGTCCAGGATCAACTTCAGATTACATCATGTCTGTGAATTTTAAATCAGCGCTCGCCTTACATATATTTTCGGGTATTTTACGTGCGCTACTTGAGCGATTACTCGCTGGGGCGTGTTACCATGGATGTGTGAACCACCTACAGGTTCTTGGAGGTTATTTTGCTTCCTTCATTCTAACCAAACAATTTTATTGTTTTATTTTTGTTTACGATACACAAACATGCAAATAAATCCTACTCAACTCAATGGAATTGGTTCAAATTGAGTCATGGCGTGTAAGTTATATCGGCCCAAGTGACCCGAAACCAGCTAAATATTTTAAGTTCGCTTCTTGAGGCTTTATTTTGTCTTGAGTGATGTACCTTGGTCTAGAATTCACAACCGGCATATTTTGTTTGTTGGGGATGTAAGCGTTCAGAACATTGCTTGACGTATTTCAGACAAAAGTGATTGGGATTAACACTTGTGCCAACAACAGATAACACTATACAAACGATGCCGATTTGTAGTGATTATTGTCTTTGCTATAAGGCCAACATGTTTTATAAAGTTTTCAAAATTTCACTTTTCCAAAGCATATGGTTTGGACACCTTCACGTGAACAATATGAAGCATATTTCAATATTTCAACATACAAAATCTGAAATAAATACATCATCGATGTATGGCTCTAATTTCCGTGCATATAGTGTTGCATTTCTTTGAGATTAAACCATTATGATAAAGTCACGATATGACAAGTCTTTTGCCTTTTCTATAACTTGCACGTTTACGATTTTGACGTTATCAAGATCGGAAATCCGGTTGAATATCTAACAAGCGCAAGTCTAGGACCTTTAAAACATTCTAAAACCATCCTTCTTGACACCTACCCGTTAAAGTCACAAATACGCAAATGTTTGGGACGAAACAGTTCTCAGACATACATGTATGAAAATTCTCAGGACAATTTCCAAGGGACTCCGTTATTCATAAATTGAATTACTATTATGATAAAAGGACATTTTCAAAATAAAAAAGTTTGATCAATCTGCTGAGAAAAATTATAACAAGACTGAATCTAAAATAAAATGTACCCCAACTTACCTTCATCTTGCAATTGTGACCGTCCACCAACCAAGTTGAACAAGAGTAGAGAGGTACGCCTTCGATCTCTATTTAAACCATTTTTGAAAAACCGATCAACAATGTCACACCTTGAAGTAATCCAACTAGCACATTTTCCTTCAAATAAAAAGCTTATGGACTTAACAAGACGCTCGTGATGGCTGGCTCCGAGTTGGTCACAAGTACCGGTCAGTTTTACAGCCTTTTCACGAATCTGTTTTCACGGCAGGGATCCCTCCATAAGCGTGATGCTCGGATTAGATTAATTTTCTTAGGAAGCGAGTATAGAATTTTATTTCTTAAATAAGAGCAATAACCCCTTAACTAACGGGTGAAGCGTACACATAAAGAGTTGCTTTAATCCAGGGCAGCGTATTTCTTCTTGGAAACCACCACTTACGTCATTTGTGGCATATTCGAATCGTTGCTTTTCTTCATAGCGTTTATAGAATGTTGTTTTATCGAAAGAACATACAGGTATAAATGTAAATGTTATGATATCAAACTTTAAAAACTGAAGAAATATTATTTAACCGTTGCAATGTGTATTCAGTTAGTGTTGATTAAAAGTTTCATATTATTTCATTATTGCCTGCTGTGTTCATTTGTTTCCTTGTTCTAATGATCGATCAGTAAGCAATAGATTGTTGGTCGATATGTCCGGAAAGTTGGAGGAAGCGCCATAACATTATTGTCACTCACCATCTATCTCAGAGAAAAGCATAATTGAGTTGATATTTTTTTAAGTGAACACTTGACTTATCTTTGCATGTGTTTATGACGGGTGCCATCGGTGGGGCAATATACGCTCATCTTTCAGCGAACGCCTGGTATCATCACTATTTGATGGTGATTCATGAAAGCATGCTCATGACATCGTCGGAATCCAACAACCGACTACGCTTTTAGCAGAGATTTCTACTGATTTTGGGAAGTGTTTTGTCGCTTTATGAATACGTGTAAAGGAGCATCCCTTGTATTTCTATAGGGGAGTGGCGAGATTTTAAAATGAATAGGTTGTTCTGAAATATACCCAAAATGAATAGTTTGTTGGCGGTGGTGAAAAAATGAATAGGTTGTTTTGTTGTCAATATTTGATTGATGGTGCGCAGTAAATAAATAGTTTGTTGGATACTGCTGGGAATTGTTTTAACCTCCCTAAACTCCCCGTACAATTCACATGGATGGCCCCTTGGTTTATATCTCATATTTCGCTGGTGCAAAAGTCATGTTAAGTAAATTTAGACTGCGGTTATGTTTTATTAGCCGTGCATGATGTATGTCAACTTTACGACTGAAATCGTTTTATTCTGCGCAAACTTTATATTAGACCAAATACAAATTCTTATTTCTCACCACTGACCGAATCTAAAATTCGACTCGGCCCTAATGTCCTTTTGCGAAGTATTTAATTTCATTCTGCATTTATTTTCTGAGTAATTTTTCATCCTGAAGTTAACCTTTTTATGCAACCCTCACCCGTTGAAAACAGTCTGGAGGGTATTGATGCAAGAGTGAATGTAGGCTGGTTTGTAAGTCTACCTGCCAACCAATTTTGAAAGTGATATCAAACAAGGCTGTTCACGATTACCAATTTCGCGAACACCTGGTGTCATCACTGATTTTCAGTAATCCAGTCATATAATTTTTTTGGGGGTCTGGAGTTCGATCCCCGACCGCGTCATACCAAAAGACGTTAAAAGATGGTACTTGTTGTTACCCTGTCTTGCGCTCGGCATTATGGGGCTAAAACAAGGACTGGTCGGCTTGGAGTCAGTATACTGTGTCTGAGTGGGGTATTCATGTTAAACTGCGGCATGGTATCTCAGTGTGCTAGCACTATAAATCGGCATGAGTCCGGACTAGTACAAGCAGTCACACAAACACACACACTTACATGCACGTCGTTATGTAAGTGCAATAATCTTGGACGCGACGTTAAACCCCATTTCACCTCACCTATAATGTTTTTGCAAATGAAATTATATCTGTTTCGGCAGATAATGGACTCGGGCGTTGACGTTTTATATTTATTTTTGTGGTCTTCAATCTTTAATTCACATACTGAAGAGGCGACAGGCCTATAGTACAATTTGAAGAATATACAATTTTATACAATTTATGTACATATCTCACCAAATCACCTCACGTCATTCCACCTCGCATCTCAACGCAGTCACATAATTTCACACATACAGTACAATACCATACCCTGTAATTTCATAATTTCTATTTTACCATATCACAACTTGTTATATCATACAACATATTCTATAACATCATTTCATATTGTATCATTATTATAAGATCATACTATATAGTATTATTTCATATACCATTATCATATCATAACATACCAAACCATACATACCATCGTACCATATATCACACCTATATTATATCACATTTCAACATGTCATATCACACAACACATTAGCAATTTCATAGCTTGTCCCATCATATCTTATCATATCATACCATATAATGCCATGTCATTCCATGCCAATTTATATCATATAAATCAATCAATATTTATTCAACACTGGAAGACCGCAAGCCATAAAATATGTACACTAAAAAAAATAATTAATTTTAAAAAAAACCACAGTATTTACACAATTTCTATAATACACATAACATATTGCATCATATCCCCTCATGTATCATATCACACCACAACACTTATCATATCATATCACATCATGTCATGTCACATCATATCATTTTATATACATATAACTATACTAAACCATTTGTAATATCACATCCCACAATATCATATGACAGCCTAGTAGTTTAATACCATTTCTAACTCTTTTGTTTGTAGTTTATTCATAAGGCAAACATCTATAAATATGTACTTAATGTATATACACAATATTTTCCTAATACCAAGCAGATAAGATTATTCTTTCATAAGGTTCTGTCGGTATAAAGAGGCATAATATATGTACATGGAAACATTTTGTAAGATACTTCTTTTTGTGTTTGACAGCAGTGTAACAAATTTAATAATATTAGGGTACCTGTAATAATAAGCTTGCAGGTATTTTTCTCTAAAATGTAAATACACTGGACATACTAGTAAGAAATGAAATTCATCTTCTACTGAGTTTAAACTACATAGATTACAGATTCTTTCTTCACGAGGAATGTTTACATAGCGCCCTGTTTCTATTAAAAGGTCGTGAGAAGAACATCTAAAACGTGAAAGAGCCGTTCGAAATATTTTAACATTAACTTTTGATAAATAATCTTCCATAATTATTTCTGATATAAACATTTTGTAATAAAAGCACTTGTTTGTTAGAGTCAATGATGCTGTCCAAGATTGTAAATAAATATACTTTAATCTCTGGGTTAATGAAAGTATAAACATTGATTTGGAATACACATTTTGGTTTTGCAAAATATCACCAAAGCCACAACTGAAAAGTAATTCTCTAACACCTGTAACCCAGTTTCTTTTCCCATTATTATCATAAACTATCATCATATTATAACACTTTTTTGGCAATCTATATGAGGGCATGTCAATAAGTCTCAGCCAGTATTTAATAACTTTTATATTTGAATATACATAGAGAGGGAATCTTCCACATTCTCCATACACCACCAAGCTGGAAAACTTTTTGCAAACATATAAATGAATCTTTTCTATGGCATCAAAGTGCTGTAAACCCCAGACTTCTGCCCCATACAACAAAATGGGGAGTATCTATATATCAAATATTTTAAAAAAAGATTGATGAGAAATGTTTTCTAAAACTTTCAAACTCTTATGGATACTTACAAAGACCTTTCTTGCTTGTAAAGCAGCTTGATACAAATGTTTATGCCATGACAAGTTTCTACTGAAGTAAACACCAAGATATTTATAAAATCCTGTAGTTTCTATTTTTTGTCCTTTAAAGGACCAATATTCTTTACTTGCTGAATGACCTCCATTCTTAAATACCAAAACTTTAGTTTTACTCATGTTAACTGTTAGCTTCCATTTATTGCAGTAACTTTCAAGTTCAATAATTTGACACTGCAGTCCTTTGATTGTTGATGAAAAGAGAGCAATATCATCTGCAAATAAAAGTAAAAATATCTGTGTAATATCTGGATGGAGCTGAACACCATAATTACAGTTGGTATTTATTTGTACAGCCAGTTCATTTATGAAAAAAGTAAAGAGAAATGGGCTTAAGGTACATCCTTGTCTTACTCCTAACTGACTAATAAATGTTTCTGAAATATCAATATTGTTTCGCACACACACCTTAATATTCTCGTAAATGCTACCCAATAGTTTGTTCATCTTAAAGCTGAGGCCATGTGATCTTAAATGGTTCCATAGTTTATGTCTCTGCACTGAGTCAAATGCCTTGGCAAAGTCAACGGAGAGCACATAAAGTTCCCACCCTTGACACTGAGGTATTTGTTAACTAAAACTTGGAGGATAAAAATGTTGTCAATAGTTGAATAGCCCTCTCTAAATCCAGCTTGTTCTTCATTGATTTTGTTGAGGGTATCTGCCCAAAACACTAACCTTTTATTTATTATGTTTGTGAATAGTTTACCAAATATACTTAGCAGTGAAATACCTCTGTAATTGTTTATATTATTTAGATCACCTTGTTTATGTATTGGCACAGTTATCCCTATTAACCATGCATCTGGAAATGTTCCATTTTCTAATATAACATTAAATATAAGTTCAAGGTAAGGTACAATGATATCTGAGGAATGTTTAAAAAACTCAGGAATAATCGAGGAATAATTTTGTGGTCTTATCCACATTTGAAAACACAAACAATTGGAGCCCAGTAGCGATATGTCAACAACTTGGTTATATTAATATATGCACGCTTTTCCCATGTAAGACATGCATCTGTCGCTTCGCCACATAAAGCAATATATTTCAGTGAGACGTCACTTGGTACGGTCTCAGTGACCTGTTTGTGCTGACAGATTTTTGTCGCTCTAACAGCCGGTTGACGCAGGCCAAATCA